TATGTATGTATGTATATACTAAGTGCAGAAAGTATTTAGAGAATATAAAACATTTAACAAAGAAATAAGCAAAATAAAAGAAATTAACAAAATACACTTTGGAGCAGTGGTGACTTGGTGGTTAAAGTTCGAGTCCACCGGATGGATTTAAATGTGAAGTCCAGCATTTAAAAAATGTGCTTAATAAAACAAATCAACCATCCTTTGTCGTTCTGAGATTGTAAACTGCTGTCTGGGTTGCCAGGTTCTGTCTGATGGTGAAGAAAGGCTACAGGGACCCTCCCTACCACAACTGGATGCATGCCTTCTCTGTCTCACACTTCTGCTATCTGCTCTACAAAAACCTAGGGCTGTCCAACTACCTCGAGTGAGTTCTCCATTTTCACCTGCGCATCTGAAATACTGTGAGACACCGTGCATATGGGGTCATGCAATCGTCACTGTCACTTCTCCTTTTCAGAGAGATTGAGATTTTGGCCCTGTTTGTGTCCTGTATGTGCCACGACCTGGACCATCGAGGCACCAACAACTCTTTCCAAGTGGCTTCGGTAAGAGAAACGAACCCGATGCTGTTGTTTAGTAGCAGATGTGTGATGAAGCAATGAGTTGAGAAGAAGAAGAAAAAAAAAAAGGAGGAATATTAATCTTGTCAGACACGGTTGAAGGATCCCACTAAGAGACAGGATGTGTGGATGTTTTTCAATTACATCCGAGTGTGGTCTTATCTCTGTGTCTCTGGATCGGGCCCAGTGAGACATTAGATTTCATTTTGATTAGGATCATGTCGCTTTCTTCCACTCAGATCATGCGAAACCATTCGGCAACCAAATGACACGCTCACAATATTAAACTTTTATCAGTTCCCTGATGCAAATCTCGTGTTCTGGCTGATAAGTAAATTATAAAGACACAAGTCAATGTATGTAATCAAAGAATGTTCCATTTGAATTCATATTGCATTTACACGAATGGCATTGTGTTTCATTTTCTTTCCAGCAATCTGTGTTGGCAGCGCTCTATAGCTCAGAGGGATCAGTGATGGAGGTAAACTGGCTCTCACATTAACGCAAAATGAATATTTTTCTATCAAATAATATTTGTTTATCCGTGTAGTACAGTTTTGACTTTGACTCATTTGTTTTTTTACACGTTGTGCTAATTTATTGCTTCATTTCTGACAAACGTTTGTTTCTGAGAGCTCCTGATTTTGTTGTGTCTTACTACGACACCTAGTGGTCACAAAATTGAATTGAATTGTTGTGTGTAATGCAAAGGCATTATTATGTTTGGCCGTCTATGTAACGAACTTATCCGCGTGGCTTCAAAAGTGGCAACCATTTGTTTTTGTTTGTTTTTGTACAACAGAGACATCACTTCGCGCAGGCCATCGCCATTTTGAACACCCATGGTTGCAACATCTTCGAGAAATTCTCCAGAAAGGTAAAGTCGGTCTGAGTTTAATATCGTTTTTTTTTTGGTTTTTTTTTACTAATATCCTTTAATTATCATTTTCCCTTCTATGTCCAGAGTGCAGTCTTACAAGAAGCATATTGTGAATGTTCTAACTTTATTAACGGACATTAAATTATTTCATTGTGCTTTAAGCACACAGCATGAATTAGCAAACGTGTGCATATTTACTTCGTTTTAGTCATCGTTTCCACTTTTGTCTTAATACATTTTCAAACTTCTATCCCTAAAGCTGTTAACAATTTAAAACTAGAATTTTTTTAAAAAAAGCTAAATATGATGAAGTGTTGATAAGTAGTTTGTGCTGGGGTTTAGTATAAAGGTGGATTGTTGTGGTGGCTAATATTTCTAAATTTCAATAAAATGTGTTTTTATTATTATTATTCTGTATTCAAAATAAAATCAATCCAAAATAACACAGAATAAGTGTCATGCTGTTATAAAGACTTGGTTTTACACACGTTAGTTTTAATGGTTTTCTTTTCTTTTTTTTTTGTTTTTGTTTCATTCAAGGACTACCAGCGTATGCTGGACCTCATAAGGGACATCATTCTTGCCACAGACCTTGCTCATCATCTGCGCATTTTCAAGGATTTACAGAAAATGTCCGATGGTAAGACACTGTAGTCCGCAGTAATTCCTATCTTCAGCTTTAAGCAGTGGACAAGGCTTTGTTCAGGTACTTGTGCAGAATTGTAAGAGCTGAGTTAACAAGAGAAAACAGACGACACCGAAACATACAGGTGAGGTCATATTTTGTAGTTAACACAACATCTCATGTTAGTAATGAGATTGTATCGCAGATGTTATTGTATCACGGAGGAACAAACTCAAGAGAGAGAGCTCTTAGGTGAATTTTTCACTATTTTTTTCACTGCCATTCTACAAACCCACTCCACTGCATTGGACTACTTACCGTTTTGTGAAGGCCGTTGCCAACTGCACTCCAAGTAAGATAATTGGCTGTAACCTCGTGGCCAGTGGTTGTTACGCTTGAATGCAACCAATTATAAGTTCTCCTAAGTGGATGTCTCCTCAGGGGGAAACTGGTTTTGAGGTATAAAAGCAATTTAAAGACATAACACATAATGACATGGAAAAAAAAAAGACTTTAAAATGGGAATAAAACGGCCACACATTGTTGACCCAAACCAGGAGTGGACATAAAGGGCCAAGGTTCCGTTTATATAGAGTGTCCTTAACTGACAAAAACATGCACACTGAAGTTAAGCAAGTAAATACTGCTCCACAAATCTATCTCTAGGTTTACGGTGATAGATGAGTTTAACCATTTCACTTTCCTGCACAGCCTCGTGGCAAAGCTTTGAGTGACCGCCTTAAAGTTCACACCTGTATCCCCTCTTCAGATGGATACAACTCGAAAAGCGCCACCCACCGCTCCCTGCTGCTGTGCCTGCTGATGACTTCGTGTGACCTGTCAGACCAAACCAAGGGCTGGAAAACCACACGCAAGATTGCTGTCAGTTCACACACGTAGTAGCATCTGCTCTGCAACTGTCTTTAGTAAAACATATTCATGATTTAACATGATCTATTTTTGATGAGTGAACACATCCATTTCTGAACATATTGAATATATTCTCTAATGTATGTGTCCCATTTTGGAGTTCCCTAATTAAAGTGAGCAGCCAAATGTTTCAGCGCGGAAAAATGCCAAAAAGCTTTGGTCATACTATACAGTACTTCTCAAATAGTGAGGCAATGCAGTGAGGTGCCGGAGGGGCGTGAGAGACTGGCAATGGAATATGGCACACTGGACAAAACTGTACCACCGCTGTAATGCTTGAACGTTAACAAGCCTCCAGTCACTAGGTGGCAGCAGCTCATACAGTGGTTTGTACAGAAAAAAAAAATCTTATTAGGTTCTCAATAGTATTTCGCAGGGCTGGGAGACGGACCTGGGGAGGTGAAAACATTTCTGTCCTGAACCTGTTCTGAGCCACTGCACTGGTATGAGGCAATACAGGACTGATGGTTGATTGCAATTGTTACTGGTAAATCGCCAACAAAACTGTAAACCAAGGGTGTCAAACTCACTTCAGCTAATAAGATGTCAAGCTGGCCGGACCAGTACAATTAAAATTCACAAAAAAAAAATCCAGAACATGAAGAATTGTGTTTTGGTTTTTTGTTTTTCAAAATTCATTAAGTGGGTCTCCACTTGATGCACCAGGAAAACAATACAAAACAATTTCATTTATATTACCTAACCTTCCACCGAGCTTATATCTAATCTTAATCTGCCCTGTTTTTCCACACAAAAAAAAACCCTTGTCCTAAATCTAACACACAAATCTGCAAATACCTCACACAGCCGTCGAGCTGCAATCCTTTTCTCCCAACACTGAAAACACATTTGGGTTAAATGAAAGAATATTAAAACAGAACCTTGTTCTGCACCAAGAGCGGCTTAATGGGAAAGCAGCAATCAGGGCAGATATTGAATTGTAAAAGTAATAATAATAAAAATGTAAAATGCATTTTTATATTAAATTACAGCGTTTCTGCGGTTAATACAAATCGTGTTGTATTCAAATTTAGTAAATGTAGATATTGTCTCCTGAAACAAAGAATCCAGACTGGCATGACATTAATGACATTTATGTCATGTCATGGTTGTAGCTCGCGATATTATTTTTGAATATGTGCTTGTTTTAGAGTTTATAAAAAAAAAAGTGTGGGTTTGACATCACAAAAGTAATGAGAGAATTGCGCATTCAATAAATGCTGAGTTGAATTCTGTTTTTTTTTTTTTCACAGGAGCTGATCTATAAGGAGTTCTTCTCTCAAGGAGATTTGGTATGTGTCGGAGTGGTCTGATTCATAGGTAAGCTGAAATTATTGAGCAACTAAACTCAGTGTTTTTTTGCGTGTGTGTGTGGGTGCATGTAGGAAAAAGCCATGGGGAACAGGCCCAGTGAGATGATGGACAGAGAGAAAGCGTACATCCCAGAACTGCAGATAAGCTTCATGGAGCATATCGCCATGCCGATCTACAAGTGCGTACAAAAACCTCAAATCACACTGTTCCTCTACGGAGGCCTCTATATTGTGAAAAGATTGTGCAGCTTTCAGAGTGAAACTATGTTTCCCAAAATGTAAAAGATGTGTGTTGTAAAAAACAGACCTTCTATAATAGACAGGAAATAAAGAAAAATGGTTCAAATTATTTGAAAAAGCCGACGCGCAGAAAAACCCAACACAGTTGGTCAAATAATAGTACACAAACAACGGAAACAAAGAATTGAAAGATATTGAAAAAAAAAATGAAAATAAAAAATCAACAAAGTAAAAAAAAAAGTCAACATCTCCATCATTCAACATTCTGACTTATTCTGTGACAGTAAAAAAAAAAAAAAAATTTAAAAACAGGAAGTGAGTCAACATGCCCAATGTTCAAGGGCAACTTCAACTGGAAAAGAGATCTGATGTGTTGAAAAACTCCTGTAATCTTGTGCAGAGAAGGCAGGGCCCAGAATGTGTCTGTTCTTGGTACATTTATGCTTTGAGGGATTTCGGAAAAATACTCTTTGTGATCGGTATTTGTTGTGAGTTAGGGTAGGGATCAGGAGTAGCTAGATATTTGTAATAGTTAAGGCTGGAGTAAGACTAGGGTTTTTCTGCAGGACTTTTTTTTAGAACTCATCTGAACTTCATTTAAAACACTACTACTGCTACAAACCGTTATCCTCATTACATTTGAAAGAAAATCTAGTTTAATTACAGGACAGTGCAACCCCCTTCCCGTTGCTCCCCACAATAGCTACAAGATTACCAAGAGAAGGCTGACCCCCTAGCCCCATCCCTGCTTTGAAAAAGTGCTAGTGTAAGGAATGTATTTATGTGTACGTCAAGGCGTGTAGATTTTCTTTTATTGTTTTGCATTTTAATTTTTTGCCGTGCAAATGTGAAATGAAGAACTAACTTACGAACAAAATGTTGCACTGCTGTCCTTTCAGGCTGCTGTCTGAACTGTTCCCTAAGGCCACTGAGCTGTACGAGAGAGTAGCAGCTAATCGGGAGCAGTGGACCAAAGTGTCCCACAAGTTCACTATTCGTGGATTGCCAAGTAACAACAGTCTGGACTTCCTGGACCAGGAATACGAGCTACTGCAGGCCCAGGGTGCTTTCGGCAGCGACGACCACTGCATCAACGGCTGCCTCGAGGATGCAGACAGTGGGCAGGGTCAGTGATGACAGCGACCAACTACGGGTGTCATTAACCTGAAGTTGTCAGTGGTCCAGTAAGAGGCTAAGGATACCTTTTGAGTGACCAGAGAGGGAGCAGTGTCTCTGCTCTAAGCCACTTAGATGCTTAAGGAGGCCACGCGGGACGAACGGGACAAAGCAGTTGAATCACGCCAGAGATGTAAAACAAGTGGATTCACCGGAGACAATGCAATGATTCGATGCGACATGTTGTCCGCGCGTCCTGTTCAAAGAATTTGTCAGAATTCGGTGACTTTATATATTTTTCAGCAGTTACACTGGAAAAATAATTTAAGACTGATTTTGATTAGGATTGTAAAAAGGAACCCGCATACGCTCACTCGGACACATGTGCACATACTGTTGAAAAAAAAAAAAGGCATAAGTTGTGATAGAGAAAAAAGACTTTAACGTGTAATAGTGAGATAATGTGCTAACATTTGTGTAAAATGATTCATTATATCTTATATTGGTTTCAATGGCCCAGCTTTAGACACACAAACGGCTGCCATAGTTTCTCACCCGAAGCTTACGATTGCATGCCATGGGGACACTTTGGTGTGTTATTATTTTAATCAGTGTTGATTAATTCAGATTATTTTAATAGCTTTTTTTTTTTTTTTTTCATTCAAGCTTTTCAAGTTATATCAGATGATTTCAGGTGTACAAAAGGAGGGTGTGGTTTATGTGCTTCATCAGTTTCTAACTGCTCACAGGACAATTTGACAATCACTTTAAAAAAAGACAAATCCCAGGTTATGACACTTCACTCTAACATAGTTCAAATTAAAGGCATGAACGCCCTGTGCAGTGTCACTAGATCAGGTGCAGTCATTTTACCCCCAATCCCTGATATCTTTTCTTTCAGCTTTTGGTCAACTGATTTCTTGACTCCACTTCAACCGAGAGTGAAACCGAAGCCCTTTAAAAGATCCACTCCATCTGTGCCAGTGTGTGTTTTTTGAAGTGTGTCCCTGAGTGTATTATAATGGATCTGCCTTATTGCGCATCTTCGCTGCCTTTCTTAGAGCTTTTAATATATAAATATTAAAATTCTGCATCACTTTAGTATGTATGTGATATATTTGTGATAGACATAGATTTAGGTGTGTTTGACTGAATGATGAACATACATCACGGAGATGTACATTTTGTGAAATATCTGTAAGAAAACCTCAGATGTCATTTTACTATTTTTTATGTTTTGGAGTGAACCACTAGTGAAAATTGGGTAGATACAAAAGACGTTTGTTTTTCGATTGCTAGAACCACCAGGATTTTCTTTTAAGAGAAACAGCCATTAAAAAATGTCCCCTTTAATAAATTATCGACAGGTAATTATTGCTGACCTCCACTGAAAATGTGTGAAAACCTAAGAGTTTGGCTTCAGATTGTGCCTCAAAAGGAATCACGACACCGTGGAGTTTTGTGTCACAATTTGCCATATTCACTTTTACCTCATAATGTTTTAAACACAAAATGCTGCAGAGTGGAGGTAAAAAAAAAAATCACCACAGGAAAAAAATGTGCAGTGTGTAGGCAGTGTCGGGTGGAGGCACAAAGCCAGAGAGAGTGAATGCATGTGTGGGTGAGAACACGAGAGAACTGCAGCTACAGTACCTGGTGTCAGATCAACAAAGAACTGTAATGATTTTTTTACAGAGCTGCTGCAAATGGAGGAGGCAGAAACAAAGCGTACAATGTTTCTCACCATTTCAGAAAAAATGAAAATCTACTTTGGTTGAAAAAAAAAGTATCCAAATACAACATATTTGAAAGCCTCGCATTACCGAGGAAGCTAAACTTGTTTGTCTTTTTTTTTTTATCATATTGCTCTGGTTTTACAGGTCAGCAATTACACTAAAAACATATGACTCAACACAGCTAAAGATCTTGTTTGTAAATGCAGCCCAACAGTCGAAATTAAATATAACAGGGCAAGCTACTTTAAGGCCCTAAACCTGCTCAGAATGTCATTAAAAGTACAAAACACATACAACAAAAATGAACTGTTTGAAATGAAACCGCCGCCGCTGAGCGCGTCTACCTGGCTGATAATTACAAAACCAGAAATTAAACTAACATCTTACATTCTTTCGTATTCATATTAGTTGATTGACAAGACCAGGATGACCAGGACAATGCCAAGATAAAGTTTGCTTTTGGAGATGATAAAAACAAACAAAAAAATACCATCACTGTTTTCAGAAGAAAAAAAAAACATTTAAAATTAATGAAAAGGGTAGCCAACCAGTATGAACTTGTGTTGCATTGCACTTGGAACGATATTCTGAGCAGATTAAGAGTATGGTCAAGTGCTGTGTTAGGTTATATTTATTATTATTAATATTATAACTCTCGAGACCTCTTACAACAGAGATATATGTTGAATTGACGAGACTACTTTATGCTTTTTTTTTCTTATGTGTGATTCTTTGTTTGTTATTATTTTTAACAACAGTTTCATATATACCTGCCTTTTCGTGTGCAATATACGTCAAGTATCTGCCTTTTTTAAAGGGTGCATGGATTCCTATGTAAATATCAATGCCCTTTGTTAAATTATAACTTCATAGTATTGGGTTTCTAAGGACATATTTCCACTAGAAAAAAACTTCAGCTGATTTCATTGGCTGCCCAGATCTATGTTAGTTTTCTATGCCGAGTCTGTTTATCTATCCTTTAATGTATGTTTTGTAAAGTCAGGGGGTTGACATGTGCCAAGAAAACATTTTTTTTCTTCCTAGCCAAGCGGCAAATGAAAAAAAAAAAAAAAAAACAGACATTAACTTTATTTTGTTCTTTAAAGCTGGCGTGTTGATGAGGGCTATCTCCATACAACTTTTCTGATACCTTACAAATAGGTCTGAAAATGCGGTTCATTTTCGGGATGTACATGAACACAATCTGTTCACATCGTCACATAGCAGGATTTAATGACATTGTTACAATCACGTGTTAGAGAAATGTTTAAAGTGATCAAAAGGATAACTGCTCAAAATAACAGTTTTACAAATGTTGTATGACTGTCTGGCATATTTGCAATGGGGGAATCTTTCATTTCTGTAATGTATTTGAAGTGGTTGCATCCTGTTCTCCTTTTTTTTTTTTATTGCCATGTTTGAATTAGATTGAACGTAAGACTTTTAGACAGAGAGAATAAATGTGATGTATATGTGTATTTAAGAAATACATATGATGTTCTACCACAGACAAGAATTCAAACTTATCTGAAATGTATAAATATTGCTTATACCAAGGACTAAATCCAGTCACCTGTTGATTTGTACTGCTGAGATCTGCTGAAGGCTGTTGGTCTTTCTGGTTTGGATGAATTGAACGAAGACGTTTGGCAAAAAGACATGGATGATGTTCTAGTTTTTCTTTTTTTTTTTTCTTGGAATAAATCTGGCAAAAGGCTTCTCGGTTGATGTCTCTCTGCGTACAACTTGCGCACATTACATTGGTTTGTCACTTGTGCGTGCAATACTTCATAAAAGAATACTCGGGTGCCCTGTTGGGAAGATGTTTATTTGGGATGAGTAACATGAGGTCATTGTGACACTGTTGTAGTCATCACTGTGGCATTTCTGTTCATCCTGTTGACCCACACTGATGCAGTATAATCATAACGGGTTTAAATGACCCGGGGTGTTATCGAAATCTAATCTTAGTCATTCCTTTATTAAAAAAAAAAAAGATTTTTGTCAGTTACATTATTTGCAGTCTAATAAACTTCAATTAAAATGAAGCAACATTTTAGGATAAAAAACTCACGCGAATTGTCACATCATAAAAGAATAAAACCTACCATGTGAATATAGAGATTCATTTCAAGTATCATATTAAAGTGCATTGTAATTTAATATTTTCTCCTCACTTTTACATCCACATTTTTTGCTTATGACTGTTTAATGATTGTGTAATGTGTAAGAATCATGAGGAGAAAAAAACTACAGATATACTGGAAGCATACTACGCAGAAGGTACATAAAGAACAACAACAACTATTCAACTTTGAATTTACATTCATGTTCAAACCAAGTTCAGATTTACTGACCAGTCTTTAAACTGTTCTCCTAACATTTGTATCCCTATCCCCAATCTAAACTTATACAACCTAACCATGGAAAGATAAAAAATGGTGAACAAGGAGACTCAAAAGAGTGGACATTATATTCTTTTCAGTCTAATCACATATTTTAAAAGTAAAGTAAATATAGACTGTCTACTGAAAGGACCTAAGTATATGTAAAACTGAAATAAATTAATACATTAAAATAAATTAAATAAATGTGGTTAGATATTCCTCCTTTTTACTAGCTATGCCCAAGCATTTTGAACATCAACTCATGAAGAACCTGTCTTTTGTTTTGATTATTATATTATATATATATATATATAATATCATATATTATATTATTTTATGTAATCAAGACAAAGCAGAGCAGGATGTCTTTTTAATTAGTTAAAAAAAAACAAGAGATTAACCAGTGTAGTAGTACTTGCTTATTTCTGCAGCTTTGCCCTTGCATATTTATAAAAGCACAAGAAATATAACTCATTTCTAAATTCCACCAAAATAAATGAAAGGCAAAATACATTTAAAGGTACACTCAGTTAAATTTGACCAACATTCTTTAGATGTTGGCAGAAATTGTTCACTATATGATTTTATTATGGTTTTGGAGAGTAATTTTCACCAGAAATTCTGAACTCATGCTGCTATGGTCAAAGAAAGTGCCTAGTGTTTGTTATTGGAGGTAGCCATGTTGCTATATGATTTTATTATGGTTTAGGAGAGTAATTTTCAGAAATTCTGAACTCATGCTGCTATGATCAAAGAAAGTGCCGAGTGTTTGTTATTGGAGGTAGCCATGTTTAATCATCTTTGTTTCATACTTTGTTAGCCAACAATAGGCAAACAAGTACCTGTTGTTTTTACATATTTTTAATAGCTATATACTCTCATAGAGGACCTTAAATAGCTGGACCTTATAATCATGCTTAAGAGATACTACTTCACTTACACTATTCAGGTTTATCTTAACGTTTGTCATTTTATAGTGTATCTTTTACAGAAGAGCAGTTAATCTTCCAGTCATGCCTTTTACTTTTATTGTTAGTACATACTGTACTTTGCTTCTAAAGGCCAAGTACACATTTCCACGCTTGACTATACTTGCAGTGTATAAGAGTTAATAATAGCAGCATTAATTTGGCCTAAATATTTCACGAGTGTCACACAGGTGCAAGTACAGTTGGGAAGTTTCAATGTGAGCGGAATCTCGCGTTACTTTGAGTGCGTGAGCTCTGCGCAGTGAGAACTGCAGCTAGTCCGCCATTGCTGCATGAACAACTATCGGATTCGGCGTTTGGCTGTCAACAATAAACTTGCAGTGCCGGGACGCGGAGCTACGAGGTCGAGTGAAAGCTCGTCGGCTGCTCCTCAAACCAGTCGTCACCCCGGTCCCTTCCCGGAAAACACGTTCATATGAATACAGAGCCCACGGACGAGGCGACCATGTCCAATCTCAGCAGAGGCGGCACCAAGAAGGACACCAAAATGAGGATAAGGGCCTTTCCTGTAAGTACAAACCGCGGTCGGTGCTCTGTCTGCAGGCCAGGCGTTAACTCGACGACCGTGGTCTGGGCCACAAGCTAGCAGGCTAACCAGCAGAAATGACTATACATAAACAAAGTGCCGCCCCTAAATGCCCAGTCTCTTTCTTCATATCGTCTACTTTGTAAAATATTAGCAATTTAAAATAACATATAATGTCGATTTGATCCATTTTTATTTGTATTTGACGTTAAAATGCTTCCCAACTGCCGAAACAGTAGCTTGTTGGGATCAGTCGACACAATCCGAGGCCACCGTTAGCCCCGGCTCTTGACACTTGTTGTTTTGATTGGATTTTCCTTTTCTTCATCACAGACACCACCCGTAGATGTAATGGAAGTCTGAATTACCCGTTTTCCAATGTACACATGTTTTAGTTGCTAAAACGTATGGATGAGCCGTATGAATCACCGCTACTGTTAATGTATGCTAACAAAATGAAACAGCTAACCTAGGTAAAGGTTTACGTTAGTGATACTAACTGGAAAGCCAAATGTTTAACTCATAATTATGAATGATAGTCCCATATGTCACTCTTCTTTTTACTTGGCCTTCCGCCTTTGTATGCAAGTCATTGTAAGACCTAATTTATGAACTGACCTCATTCCTCACTTAATGGAATTTCAGGTTATGTGTAACTTTAACACTGTGGCCAAACATTAACTGCTGAGCGTTTTGAGGTATGACACAGGTTACACTGTCAGCCATGATGATTACAGACAGCAGCCTTATGTAGGGACCTGTTGTTTGTGGATCAGTGTGGACAGATATGCTGTCAGGGCAGCATCCTGACATGCAAGTGTCTGGGCTTGTCTGGGAAGGAGGAGCACACACGTTACCTCCTCATTTCTGGTGACACACACATTCAGTTTTCACCTGTAGATTTGAACTAAAGCATGGTGGCGGCAACTTCTAAATACATTTTATAACTGAAGGTGTGTTAAGTCAGTTGTGTTTGTCAAGCATTTTTGTCTATCAGATACAACAGGTTTTACCTGTCATTTAGTCAATTTCTTATATTGTCTTAATCTTTTTTAATTGTCCTTTACATTTTATTAAAAAATATATGTTAAAACATTGATAAGTCAAATTGAATATCATGTGTTTATTTGGTGATCAATTAACAACTCAAAACCTGGGTTGAATGCAGTCTATATTGATATAATTGTGAGAAAACAAATCAGTTTAGTACAGTGCACCAGGAAATGCATGTTAAAATTCTCCTGCATTTATGTCTAAGTGTTAAAACTTATATATAAAAAAAATCTTAGAAGGATTTCATAAACAGAAAAACCTTGCTGTGAAGTATTGTCTTAAAAGTTAACGATATATCTTGTTCGTTTACAAGCTTAAACATTCTTTGTTTTGCAAGACCCAAATAGGAAATGTTAAAACTGTGAAGTGAATGTAGTGTAAAGAACGCGCAGTGTTGTTTTTCTTAGAAAATGCAATATAAATAAAAGCAGCATGCAATATTTGGAAGAACAAACCATCTTTCAATACATTTTTAATTACAATGAACAGCGTCATCTTAAACACGATGTTTGCTGTTTGTGTTGTCAAATGATCAAACATGTGGCCTGTTAAAAAGAGCTGCTCCATTAGGACTTTGATGTATATGACCTTTTGTGTTCTCAATGTTCTTTTATGTTTTGTAAAGACCCAGTCTTAATAATAATCCCTCAATGGTGTCACCTTAGAATTAGAAAATTCTAGCCAAATGTTTCTTTCTGTAGTGTGTAGTTTGTTTACAGATTGAAACATACGTCATATAATGTCTCTCTAAGTTCAGCTTTTTTTTTTTTTCGCCCGTTGTCCTGTATCCTTTCTTTTTAAAGCCTTCATTTAAGAAGTGTCATTTTTTAGGTGTTGTATTTCATGGTTTCTTTTAAGTATTTATCATTTTGCGTCTTCCTTTTGCAGATGACCATGGATGAAAAATATGTCAACAATATCTGGGACCTTCTGAAGAATGCTATTCAGGAGATACAGAGGAAGAATAACAGTGGCCTCAGCTTTGAGGAGCTATACAGGAACGCCTATACAATGGTCCTACACAAACACGGAGAGAAACTGTACACAGGCCTGCGGGAGGTGGTCACTGAACACCTTATCAACAAAGTAAGTAATATGGTAACACAGTGTGATGTAACGATAAGTATTGTGGCAATTTTAATTTATTGTTTTGACAAATTTCAAATGCCAAACATAACACAATCAATTAACTTAAACATGGCTAATGTGTATGTCCCAGACAGTTTGTGAAACCTGACATGCAAACTTAAATTCCCAAAGAGAACTCCCAAGATTAATAAAGTTCTATCTATCTGTCTGTCTATCTATCTATCTGTTTGTCTATCTATCTATCTATCTGTCTATCTGTCTATCTATCTATCTATCTATCTGTCTATCTGTCTATCTATCTATCTATCTATCTGTCTATCTGTCTATCTGTCTATCTATCTATCATCTATCTATCTATCTATCTATCCATCCATCTGTCTATGCACTCATTGTATATAATGGCTTAAACTAATAATTATAATTATATATAAATAATTATTTTTATCAGCTATTCTGATCAATATAGTACACATTTTTTTATTATTATTTATTCTTAATACTTTTTTATCATATGAAGTACTGTAGTCCAAAAATGCATGACCCATGAGTTTGACAGTTCAACATATAATATATATTAAAAAAGGAGTTTATTTCATCAAAACTTAATCTTCATTTCAATGGTTTGTCAAATGTCGATATAGGCAAATGAGTGAAATATTATCACGGAGAGAATGTGCATCTGCATGAAACCTGAAACTCAGTGTCTAAGCTGGTAACTGAACATCTGCACCAACATTTCTGCTAGGATCTGGTTGGGTAGATGCAAAACCTAAAGAAGCCAATGATTGACAGCCTTAAGCTACATGTGATTAGGCAACCAAGTCTCTTTACAGATCCGTAGTTGTATAGATGGCTCTACATTTGTTTGCGTTGTCTTTTTCTGTTTATTTTTATATTAACTTTAACAGTGTAAGAGATTTTGAAAAGACTTGGAGAACAGGCTAACAAATTGGCTTCAGCAGATGACTTAAAAACTGAAGATTACACACTTAACGACTGAGTCAGGTACTGATCACAGACTGCATGCTTGGTCAAACAAATTGAAGCCCTACTGGACACGTCAAACTTTTGTGAAGGAATAGTTTATTGGGTAACCAAACAAACCCAATTGGGTCAGTAATAAGTAAACAGCTACTTTTAGATTTGATCAAAAAGTCACATATATTTGTTTACATTACAACACAATGATGACCGTTCAACCTAAAGCTTAACTGCCATTTAAGTCAGTTTGGGTCTGTTTATTATATCACTTGCAGATACGTGTCTGTATCAGTCACAGATTGTTCGTAGAGTTGTAGATTATTGTGTCCACAAGCCATGATGACTGTCCCCAACTAATGCAGACTCGCCCGAATTTGTCCCAACTAGGAATCATGGATAAAATCTGGCAAACAAAATCTTATAGTGGTTCCTCGGTTTTAGCAGATATCCAGGGGACTAGAATCGTAACAAACCAGGCCAGTACACTGTCCAGCTTAGTTAGAGACTTATTCTCTGATTCTAGAATTGCTCACTAAATGTGTAGTTAGAGACTAAAAAACAAGTAATGTCTCATGAGTGTATTTTTACGAGCTAATAATGATCTCAGTATCACCTGAGAATTAAGTGTAATAGTGGTTTTGTATACGGCCTATCTCCTTTTTAACTGAAATATTAGATTTTACTCTAAATGTCTGTATTTTCTGTGAGGACACAACAACATTGACATGAGAAGACATTAATTAGACACTCATTTTTTAAGCCCAGCGCTGACCAGGTAGGGGGGATGGAAAATAAAAGAGAGGCGAGTGTTGGTCTGAATGCAAATGAGTCAACCATCAACAAAGTCCTCACTAAAAGTGACAATGTCTTCTCATGCAAATCTGTTTTTTTATATTTTGTTTTTTATTTGAAGTAAGTTTCAGCTTTCAGAAGTGGGGAAAAAAGTGTCATTTCATAATTAATATAAAATTGATGCGAGTTCAATCTGGGGTTTTTTTTTTCTTTATGTGTGTGTGTTGAGTATAAAATTGAGTTCAATCTGGGTTTTTTTTTTCTTTATGTGTGTGTGTGTTAATTGGATTGGTTTTGTTTAGCTCCGTCTTGCTCTTGATGTGTGGAAATAAAAACTTGGTGAGTGTGTGGGTTTTGAGCTGACATATCATTTGGTGCATATGATAGCTCATCTGGTGTGCGAGGAGACTGAAAGGTCGGTGTGTCCTTAAGAATCTTAGTCTTCAGAGAATTTAGTTTACTGTGCTGAGTCACACTGCAGTGTGCCCATTATCAGGCTGTTATTTGGCTGACTAGTAATTTAAGTCTCTCTCTCTCTTTTTTTTTTGACAAATAATTGTATTATTGTTATCTCCCCTGGTTTAAGATGACTTTGTATGTGTTTATTATTGTTATCTCCACTGGTTTAAGATGACTTTGTATGTGTTTCTCTGTTTTACCCAAAGGTCAGAGAAGATGTTCTTAATTCTTTAAACAACAACTTCCTCCAAACTCTAAATCAAGCTTGGAATGACCATCAGACAGCGATGGTGATGATCCGAGACATTCTAATGTATATGGTGAGTAGCAGTCTCCTTCCTAGTAAATTCAGTTTTAAATCCACCTCTTTGAAAATGAAGGTGTTTCCTATACTTTAATGCAAAGCAAAGCATTTTAAACGCAAGAATATACTACAATACTATTTTTCATTGTTCTACTTTGCATACTGATAAAAAGATATGAAGCAAAATTGTTATCCATGTGCTAAAAATAAGCCCCATTCAACCTTTAAAACCTTTGTTTTGTCCATTTTGTTTTGTAAACCTACCCTTATAGTCAGATTTACTTTAAATGAATTAAACATACAGTACACGTTACTTGTATAATAAAATATTGAATTTCTCCCTTGACAAACTATTATAATGCTTTGGTTACTTCCTTTGTTAAGAAATGACTTTTATAATGCAGTGACACGGTTATTGACTTATTATTTTTATTAATGTTATGAATTACTTTTTAAGCGTAACCCTGTTTACCTCTTAAGTCTTTATAGTTCAACAGAATTCTTTTTTTTTTTCCGAATGTAGCTGCATCATTTCTGCAGTGCGCAGAGGAAGTGGTAGGTTAGAAATGACCAATGACAAGAGAAATGAGGAAATAGCTGCACTGTAAGAACTACAGCAGCTCAGAATATAAAGCATACTATCTTGCTTTTCCCCTTATAATTTCCAGAATTGGATTTAGTAAAACCCTGGATTCAGCATTTAGGTTATTAAAACGTTATAACTGATGGCATCCATACGCTCAATATTGGCTGATAGTATTGACAAAAGAATACGCTTAGTTCATCAATCATTGGGAGTCTCTCTTCAACGCTTATACTTGGAAAAAAACACTCCGTATTTTAGCTTCACCTCACCAACAATAAATATAGTAAAAAAAAAAAAAAGTGAATAAAGTGAAAATAAAATGATGAAGCACATTTTTACAGTTACATGTTCATCATCATTATTACCTTTCCTCCTCAGGACCGGGTGTATGTGCAGCAGAACAACGTAGAAAATGTCTACAACCTGGGCCTTATCATTTTTAGAGATCAGGTGGTTCGTTACGGCTGTATCAGAGACCACCTCCGGCAGACCCTGCTGGACATGATTGCACGGGAGCGGAAGGGGGAAGTAGTGGACAGGTAGCCACATTTTACTGTACTGTTTTGTTTTTTTTTTTACTGTTTAATCTCTAAATTGAAAGGTCTATTCTTTTTGTTAGAAAATGAGTTAGCATTTTAAAGTGTTATTTTATCTTTGGTGTTGGCATAAAAGAGAAGTGAGACGTGGATCTGCCAACATATTAACTGTAACAAACATTTTGACTGAACAAATCATCCGAATATTGCTTGCAGCCATTGTTTGTTAAGCCATAAGCATCCAGAACTGTTCTTAGCTCTGTGTGGTAGTATTTAATTGTCAAACTTTTATGCTCGTGATGCATTAGCGATCCTGCTTTTTAACTTTTTGCATTGTTCCTCTTCAGGGGAGCCATTAGAAATGCCTGCCAAATGTTAATGATCCTCGGTCTTGAAGGAAGGTCTGTTTACGAGGAAGACTTTGAGGCGCCGTTCTTAGAAATGTCTGCAGAATTTTTCCAGGTTAGTGAGAGTAAAAACAAAATCCCACACACCGACTCTTGGTCTATTATTTGTTTTTTGTATCTATGCCGGTTGTCTCCTTCGCTTGGTCTTTTCTCTCGGTTTTATTGAAATAAACCCAGTGTTGTGAATTGTATATTATATATTTTTCAAACTACAAAATGTGAATTATATATTATATATTTTTCAAACTACAAAACAAACTTTGTACAGTCATTCCACACAGGATAAGCAGCATAAGCTCTTCGGGGGCAGAGTAAACAGTTGCTGAAAATAAAGCATTTATGTCCATTATTGTCTTTTAACACCTGTGTCTCCTATGTGGCCTGAAAATGACTTTTCTTCCCTTTAGATGGAGAGCCAAAAATTCCTTGCGGAAAACAGTGCCAGTGTTTATATAAAGAAGGTGGAAGCCAGGATTAATGAAGAGATTGAGCGGGTGATGCACTGCCTGGATAAGTCAACTGAGGAACCTATTGTCAAGGTGGTGGAACGGGAACTCATCTCCAAACACATGAAAACTATCGTGGAGATGGAGAACTCCGGTCTGGTCCACATGCTTAAGAATGGCAAAACTGACGGTGAGTGTATCGTCTGTACCGTTTGTAGTTGGTTATTTTTTTTTTTTTTTTCAGAATGAAATACTCTAATGAGTATAATTACCGTATTTTCCGCACTATAAGGCGCACCTAAAATCTGAGTTTAAACTCAAGGCGATCAGTCACGCAGTAGAACACGGAAATAGAGCAGCAGCAAGAGAGTTTAACGTTAATGAATCGATGGTGCGGAAGTGGAGGAAGCATGAGGATGAGCTGCGCCAAAGCTTGTTTGTAATTTATTAATAAAGTTTGACTGACCTATCTGACTGTTTTGTTGACATTCCCTTTAGCGCGGCACCATCTAATGGTTGCTAACGTAACTACAGCCTCTACTGTAGCGCCTTATAATGCGGTGCGCCTTATATATGGAAAAAGTTTTAAAATATGTCATTCATTGAAGGTGCGCCTTATAACACGGTGCGCCTTATAGTGCGGAAAATACGGTAAAAGTTATTATTTCACTCTTAAACATGACCATGTCCCTGTTCCTTATCGACATAGGTTTGACTGGAACAGTGATACATTTACCATGCATGGTACCATGAGATTGGTTTTATATTACGTTTTGGAAAAAATATTTTAAATACTCAGATCCAATAAATGTATTCATATATAGAACCTTTTTTTTTTTTTTTTCTTTCCTACAACGTTCAAATCTATAAGTCGTTTTCATTTGGAACAAAAGATTTCTGACATACGTGTTTGTGTTCCCATGAATGCTCGCAGACTTGGCATGCATGTACAAGCTCTTCAGCAGGGTTCCCAATGGTCTGAAAACCATGTGTGAATGTATGAGCTCATATCTGCGGGAACAAGGAAAGGCCCTGGTGTCAGAGGAGGGAGAGGGAAAGAACCCTGTGGACTACATCCAGGTATGATGCTTAGTTAACCAGAGACTGATGGATGCTGTGTTTACAGGCCACCAAACAAATACGTGTTTTTTTTACTTTGCATTTCATACTTAACTACTTTTGAATTGGAGTTCTCTCAAGGCTCTTTGTGTTTTTTTTTGTTTTGTTTTTTTGAGTCCTCTCAAGGCTCTTTGTGTTTTTTTTTTTTTTTGTTTTACATTTAAATTTGGATCTGTGCCAAATGTTCTAACACATAAAAAAAACACATAAAAACTATTTCCAAAAGATGTATGTAAATGGTCAATGGTTGTCATGCTACCGTATCGAGTGCGTTAGCTGTCCAATATTCTATATGAAATTCCTATTTTTTTTTTGGGAGGGGGGGGGTTTATGTGTCACTTGTGGTTTCATTAATGTGGGACTGAAACAGTTTTGTGGAAGCTGACATTATTATCGCTTTTATTGAATGGTGGCTTATTTACAAACTTTTCTGTGGACAAGAATTGTAGTGACTATTCAAATGGCCCACAGTCAGTGTGCTGATGCACTTTTAATCACGTGTTTGCAGTGATGGAGGACGTTACTGCCGCCTTGCTGAGGAGCTCTCAGTGCGCCACAGCAGGCCCAGCCGTGACCATAATGTACATCCATAACTTCACAGGCTAATTATCAAACGATAATTAGCCTGTGACTTAAACCACACTACATTCCTGTTTTGTGCTAAATAGCAGATAAGGGCGTCAGTGATAATAGGGGAAAAAAATTAAGATTCAGTTTTTCCTGCTGCGCTGGAGCTTCGCTCCTTCTCTGCTACTCTTATCTCTGCACTGCCTGAGCTGCTGTTGTTATGTCCATGTATCCTTATCGCAATTGTCTTCTCCTTCATACTGCAGGGTTTGCTGGACTTAAAGTCCCGTTTTGACCGGTTCCTTCAGGAGTCCTTCAACAATGATCGACTCTTCAAACAAACTATCGCTGGGGACTTTGAGTACTTCCTTAATCTCAACTCTCGCTCTCCAGAATATCTCTCGCTCTTCATTGATGACAAACTGAAGAAAGGTGTAAAAGGGGTGAGTCCTCCAATGGGTGTAGTATTTTGGGAACATTTAAACACCCAACAATTTTGTTGCTTTAGCCTCTGAGACATTTTTAAAAAGGAAAAAAAAATTAACTTGTACGGCACTTTTATATTCCTTATGACCAAGCTTTAATTCATGTAGTGGTCCAAAGTTTCAGGTTCCCTCTTTTAGCAGCACAAGCCGCCATCTTCTTTTGTCAATCCAAGTTGCTTCGAGGATTATTTAGCCTGTTTCCTGTTTGTGTACTACAGCTGACAGAGCAGGAGGTAGAGTCTATACTGGACAAGGCCATGGTGCTTTTCCGCTTCATGCAGGAGAAGGACGTCTTTGAGAGATACTACAAGCAACACTTGGCCCGGAGGCTGCTCACCAACAAGAGCGTCTCTGATGACTCTGAGAAAAACATGATCTCAAAGCTCAAGGTGAACGAGCACAAGGATACGACACATACAGCTCCACATGTTGTGCAAAGTAAATAGCGTTTTCATTTCTTGCTGTTCTCTGTGGCCGTCCCTGCTCAGACCGAGTGCGGTTGTCAATTCACCTCAAAACTGGAAGGCATGTTCCGCGACATGAGCATCTCCAACACTACTATGGACGAATTTAGACAACATCTACAGACAACTGGGGTGAGGAACCGCTCATGAACCTTACGTTACCTAACCCATACGTTAGTGAATTCGTAGTTTTTAATTTTAACAACAGTACTTTCTGCTCTTCTGAATACCGATTTGGCTTGCAATGGTACAAAATGTGCATTAGAAGTAAACTGAATGCTGTATTAACGTAACTCGAACCTCACCGAATGTTGAATTTATTTATTTATTTTAATTCAAGGTGTCACTTGGAGGGGTTGATCTCACTGTGAGAGTCCTGACCACAGGATACTGGCCCACACAATCAGCAACACCCAAGTGCAATATCCCGCCTTCACCACGACACGCGTTTGAAGTCTTTAGAAGGTTTGTCTGTTGTTATTTATGCTTTATTGATTTAAGGTGTGATTGAATAGTTGACTGCCTTCCGTTACTGCTTCCGTTTTATCTGTATTTCATACGACTAATCGCTCGTCAAAGCCTTTAGTTAGTTTCAGGTATTCAAGCTCGCTACAGTAAATATTTGTATTTGTTGCATTAGGTTGACCATTTCTTAAGACTAATCTGAAGTAACCTGTTTCTCCTTTTAGGTTTTATCTTGGCAAACACAGCGGCAGACAACTCACACTGCAGCACCACATGGGCTCGGCAGATCTGAACGCCACCTTTTATGGACCTATCAAGAAGGTATGTGGTACCAAGTAACAATAGTGTAATTCCTTTTTATTGTTTCACATTAATGTCCCATAAATTAAAAAATAGAAAACAGAAAAAGGTTGGTTTCGCGTACTTTGACTGTTGGTGTGTAACATAAACGTTACTAGCAAGATTATCATTTGTAGTGTGTATTGTTTTCATGGACAAATCCTTTTTTTTTCCAGAAACACTGGTGCACAAAAAAACTTTAAAAGTAAAGGAGAGCAAAGTGGATATTTCAGAATTTAATCATCTACTACGGAATTTAATCTTCTACTAGTTCTACATAATTCCTTTATTTCATTTTTCAAAGTCTACCCCAACCCTGAGAATGGATTCTTTAGAATTAAGTAAATGTGTTTAGTGAGTAAGAACATGTAATTATTTAAGAACTGGTATCTGCATCTTGTTTACCCTTAAGTCTGTTTCAAGTCTGTCCTTTTAAGGTTTTCTAAAGCACCTTTATCACTCGCTGTGTTCTTTGCTAATAATCTGTCCACAGGAGGATGGGTCGGAGGTTGGAGTGGGAGGAGCTCAGGTGACAGGCTCCAACACCAGGAAGCACATCCTGCAGGTCTCAACCTTTCAAATGACCATCCTCATGCTGTTCAACAACAGGGAAAAGTCCACGTTTGAGGTGCACATCGTGTGCTGATCTATACTTATTTGTTTGATCTGTGTTTCCCTTTAAGTTTAGTCCTAAAATGATTTCCTTTATGTGACTTGTAGGAGATCCAGCAGGAGACGGACATCCCAGAGAGGGAGCTGGTGAGAGCGCTGCAGTCACTGGCCTGTGGGAAACCCACTCAGAGAGTACTCACCAAGGAGCCCAAGTCTAAGGAAATAGAGAATGGACATGTGTTTACAGTCAACGACCAGTTTACCTCTAAACTGCACCGTGTCAAGATCCAAACAGGTTTCAGACCCTTTTTTTTTTTTTTTTTTTAACCACTCTTTTCCTCTGTTCTTTCATGTATTGCTTTCTTAAATTGGTCTTTGTGTCAATTTCCAGTGGCTGCTAAACAGGGTGAGTCGGACCCAGAGAGGAAGGAGACTCGACAGAAAGTCGACGATGACAGAAAACACGAGATCGAAGCTGCCATTGTCCGCATCATGAAGTCTAGGAAGAAGATGCAGCACAATGTGCTAGTAGCTGAGGTTAGTCTTGACAAGTGTTTGTTATGGCTATTATAGAACACTATAACACACACTCAATTTTCACCATTAGTACTTTAGTGGTCTTTTTTTTTTTCCATCACTATTTTGAGGAGCAATATTCAATTAGTACTTTAGTTTTTCATCACTATTTTGAGGAGCAATATTCAAATCAAAACTTGCTTGGACTAGTTTGGGGTTCAGTATTTCTAACCCTTGGGTTTTATTTCTACAGGTCACACAGCAGTTGCGAGCACGGTTCCTCCCCAGTCCTGTAGTCATCAAGAAGAGGATTGAAGGACTCATTGAGAGGGAATATTTGGCACGAACACCAGAGGACCGTAAAGTGTACACATATGTAGCATAAAACAAGTGAATTGATTGAGAGCTAACAACGAGTTGAGAAAAAAACCAAGAGCCTTGTTTCTTGTGGACTGCAATTTGTTTGAACGGACTTGGAAGTGCTTTCGTCATTGATTCTGGGAAACACTGGGAAGCTTAACTTTTCTTCCATATCTTGTGTAACAAAAAAAAAACAACATCAGGCTTAAGAAGGGGAGTTTTCTAGCAATATTAGATTTCTTCTGCTGACATGTTGAGGAGAGTGAAAAGAGGGGATCTAGTTTTGTACAAAATTGTGTTTCTTGTGGCCTTTGGAAAGATTGGGTTGAGCCTGTTTGCCATTCGACTACATGCTGTGAGAGAACAAGTGTCAACATGTTAAAGCAAAAACCCGGCTACACGAAGACCAAGAAAAACATTTGAATCCACTCCCGTTTTTAATGTTGATGTCAGTGTGTTATGTTTTGTGTTTTGTGGCACAACGATGGCTGTACAGGTTGACAGACACTCTTGGTGTTTTCCTTCCAGAGGATTCTAAGCGTTTGTGAAGAGGACATAGTGTTAACTGGTACAGACCTGGTTGACAACGGCAGTACATAACACTTTGAGTACTTGAGAAATTGTGAAGAGTGCTTAAATTATGTTGCAAGTATGTCTGTTTTCTTTGAGCTTGTTGAATTACTTATGTGAAATAAGTGCACCTCACTTAGCTGAAATATTTAATGCCATTTTCAATATTTTGTCCAGGTCTGTACTAGTGGTTACAGAGACCGAGGTGTAGTTTCACAGCATGCTTTTGTCTAATGGATCAATTTGGAGGGACGCATATAAAAAGCTCCATAAATGCTGTCTGCTCTCATGACACGTTTTTTTTTTTTTTTTACTTCAGGCCTGCTTTGTGATCAGCCAAACGAGGATGTTTGAGTGAAAGATGCAGGTTTCAAGGATTTTGTTTTTCTTTTTCGTTTTTTTTTTTCATTCTCGACTGCATTTTGAACAGGTGAAACCAGTCCAAGCACCGCATTCTGATGTGTACAAATTGTAAAATAATTATTGTACTCACTGCAAAGGTGGATTGTACAGGGCCTTGTCTTCCTCATATTAAATGTAGAATTAAAATAAATGACTTGTTTATTTTGTTTTTCCTTCACATCATGCAGTAAATGACAGAATTGTATAAAACATATTGTTCGGATAGTCATTACCTTTAGATGTCTATAAGGATTCTCAGTCATCCAGGTCATGGTGAAGGTTGAAAAGTTCTGTTAGGCAACTGGATATGAGTTTTCTAAAAGAAGACTTTTCACCTCTGAAGAAGCCCCTTGGATGAGAGGTGAAATGTCTTCTTTTAGAAAATTCATATCCAGTTGCCTAACAGAACTTTTCAATCATTACCTAAATGTACTCTGTGTAGGAGTTTGTAATATCCAGTGGTGTAATTTACATGTTTTGGCCAATTATCCCTTATCTGTCTGCGAAAGGTGTACCTTTAAGTTACCTTCTAACCCAGGCGGGGGCAAACGTTTTGACTTGCCACGATGTCCAAAAATTGAACAGGGGCGCTGGGTAAAGGCTAAAATGAAGGCTTTTCATCATTTTCTACGCCATCTATTTGGGAAGCTTCTAACCCAGGCGTGGGCAAACGTTTTGACGTTTGATAAATTATATAATTTGGAAACATTTGGCTGGTTGGATTAAAAAGTGGAGCGGGCTGCATCCGGGCCCCGGGCCTTAGTTTGCCCATGCCTGATCTAACCACATAAACATTTATCATGTCTATTGCCTAATGCTAATCTAGGTAACTATGTTACTATGTATTTAAATTTAACTAATATTACATTTTATTAACAGAAATGAATAAGAATAAATAATTGAAGCTAAACAGTCTATCTTTTCTGCGTAAGCAGGTGAACCTCTCGAAATTATCAAACCACAAAAAATATTTAATATTTCAAATTACATTTCTTACATAGTCAATCTTTAGCTACATAAATAAAGGAGGGTCAAATTAAAAAAAAATCAGTTGGTAGATATGTTATGAAGCGGAAAATACTTCAGATAATGCTTTTTTTTTTAAATGTATGAACATAAAAAGAGAGGTTAGCAATTGTCTCATCAAAAAGCGTCCTTTGCTGTTGCTGTCTGGACCTTTGTCTGTTTGTCTCTTTATGATATCAGACGCCTGCCATCTGCTCCATGTTATTACGGGCAGCGGATTTGGATTTAAAGCAGCTCCGCTTCTGTTATGCTGCTTAGCTATACAGTCCCCGCTGTAACTTTATAAACCCAGTACAACCATGTGCAATTTAAACTAGTGTAAGGACAACGTCACGTGTACGTTTTTGCTCGTCTTTGCAACGTTATTCCTTCCTAATCCCCATAATGTATGCCGTCAAACGTGGTTGGTGACGTCAGCGTCCCAGCAGAGAGTTGGGTTTTTGTCCTCAGGAGCAATAGAAGTAGGAGGAAGAGCAGGATGCATCTCACACTTTACCGGATCGTTTGCCTCCAAAATCGGTTCAGGGTTTGTGTCCAGGATGTGAGAGTGTTCCTCGGACGTCATTTGTTGGAGTCGCGGTGTTAAAGATGAAAGCGGTGACTCTGGATCCGAGACTGAGTGAGTCAACTTTGGTGTTAGCTTCAGGGCTAGGGCGTTAGCTTTCACAAACCGCTACCACAATTGAAGTAAATGTATTTGAGTTTAACAGAAAAACTGTTAGTATGGTTTTTACCTTTTCAATTTTGTTAACAGTGTTTTATTTTCTTCAGTTTTTTTTAAAAATATAACTTGTGTTAGCTAACATTGTTGTCATGGTGACAAAAGTAAAAAGGGTCTCGTTTTTCCAAAGCACTCACCACAAGATGGAGACAGATTTTTGTCTTTTCTCCAGCACAGTCACTCACTCTCTCGCTCCCTCCCTTTCCCCCCTCGTGTGCTTCTCATTTTTGTATCTTATTCAGATGTGACTGCAGCAGGATGTCATCATCTGGCCGTGAGTTCACCCTCTGTGTCTGTCTCCACTCACTGTGATTTATGAAGGCCACAGTAATCACCAGCATCAGTCATTCATTTTATCCATTTAGTTTTACCGAACGTTCTGTACGTGGACACATTTTTTTAAGGATGACAAACTACAGTGTTCTGTAAAAAATAATCTTGGGCTTTTAACTACTGCAAAAAAAAAAAAAAAAAAAATCTACATATGTATGTAATCTATTTGCTTCTCTGGCAGTGAAGCACATTATCTTAAAAAATATAAAAAAAATTTAAAAAAATTATTTTATGTATGAATTCAACCTTTTAATTGTTAAAGTCTGTTAAAGTCTGTTTTAATGATTAAAGTCCATTATACAAATATGCAGATAAACTCTTCACCCTTGTTTAAATATATATTAGATAAATGTGTACTTTAGAGGCCACAATAAGGTAAATATAACTAAAAAGGAAGCTTTTTTTTTTAACAAATGAATTATCATGATCATTATGAGTTAGTGCTAATTTGACAGCTCTTATAAATATATATTTATATATAAATATACATATGTTTGTTTATATATGAAGCACAACCTTTAATGTCATCTTTGAAGATTCTTGTGGTTTAGTTATGAAGAGAAGGCAGTAAAAAAATAACATCCTAAGCATTTTCTGTAGAAATAGACTAAAATATTACAGACTGTAGAATCCCACGAAAGTAGCCAAGAGTACGGTTGTAATTTGATTAATAATTAACACTAAAGAACATTAAACAAGTCCTTTGTTGCATTGACAGTGACGCATGGATCCAGATCATTGAAAATCTTAATAAATGTGTGTCTACATGTGTCAACTTCAGTTGAGGTCATGACCCGACAGGTCAAGCCACAACGGCAGCCGCAGCTCCTACTCATGAATTTGCATCTGCTGGCCAACCCTGGAGACTCTCTGCTGCTGCAGCACACCCTCGATCGCCTGCTGCGCTGGCTGTGCCCGAGTCTCTGCATCTTCCATGTGTCAGAGAGAGCATCCCCGTTCGGCAGCTACACCCACCTGTGTCCTGTGGCAGGTTTTTACCCTTGAATTTTTTTTTTCCCCCCCAAATAACTGCATACATACTGCTTTGCTGTAATACTTGCCATCCCACAATGAGTTCCGTCTGCCAGAAGAGCATCTGGTTTTACTTTGGGGTTGATTGAAAATAACTTTGCCAAAATTCTTTCAGGCTACCCTTCCGTGGCCATCACGTTTTTCCTGCACGAGGCCTATGGAGAGGAGAGAATCCTCAAAGTGCTGGATTTCTTTCAGAGACCTCCCTGGCAGTATCATCACACGGAGAGCTGCGGCAACAAAACAGGAGGGATTCACATTAGCTCCTGCGGCTCCCGTGCCAGTGCACTGCTGCGGCCCTACCTTCTGCCCAGCAGAGACTTCTATAGTTTGGGTGCAGGGATGCCAGTGTGGGGAGTCAGACCCGTGCACTGTGGAGGCGAAATCCTACGTGTGACACTGTACAGCGGTTATGAGAACTACGAGGACGCTGTGCGTCTATATGAGACAGTGCTGCAGCGACAGGCAGAGGAACAGAAGTCAGGTTTCTGCTGGTTCACCCTCCACACAGGTAAATCTAAAAGCTTTTGCTTTTTTTTTTGTCATTTTAACGGGCTGCACGGTTCAATTATGACCATTTCGGTCAGTGTCAGAATTGGCACGGAGATAAGGCAATATACACGTGAAATATCGGAATTATTTTTTATTTAGATTTACATGTCGTAGCAATTCGTTAGTACATAAATGAGGTAGCTGTTGTTGAACTCGAATGGTTTTTAAACATCATAGCAATTCAAGAAATGCTTATTCGTGAATGAACTAAAGAAAAGTGATTGTATGTTATGTTGTTTTTGGTCATTTTTTTTTATTGAATTGGATTTTTTTTTTTTTTTAAGTCACAGTATGGTACATTATTTTGGTCATTTTTTGACTTGATTATATTTTATAATGATTATATTTTTGGAAATATTATTAGCATCAGGGAGCACATGTTTTTTAGAGATTTTTTTATGTTTTTCAATTTTTCACAAAGTTTTTCCATTTTTTTAATTAAAAAAGATTTTTGATTTTTTTTTATAGCTCATTATTCATCAGGGAACAAGTTGTAGGACATAAACTTGCTTTTTAAGATGTTTTTTGAGATTTTAATTTTGGATTTTTCATCAAAGTTATTATATAGTAAGTTGTTTTTGGTCAGTTTTTTGCATCAGGGAGCACATTTTAGCATGAGCTAATTTTAGAGAAGTGTTATTTTTTTTTCAATTTTTCCTTCACAAAAGTCATGGTATAGTACAGACATCACCAAATGGTGAACCCCGGTCCAGATGCAGACTGGGTAATGGTTCTGTCCAGACGACTGGAAGCCCAGTATGACATATGTATCCGACAAATTACGCATACATTTACACAGCAACATGCAAATTAAAGGTATTGTGGATCATGGGGCTAGACAAAAACATTTTTTAGATATCTGACAGTTTGCTGAGACATAATTTGAGGGAAAACAAAAAGACATGGCAGGGTCGTCACATGCCTATTTCTCTCATTGAGAAAAGTGGAAGAAAAAACTAATAAGTGGTGTTGTTCAAAGCTCTGTTTGATTTTTAATTCCCTTAAAGAAGCACTTTTTATATATTGTTTTCTGAAGATGTTGGCTTTTAGTTGGAAAAATAGGCCTTCAGGGACCTCTATAATTCAAGAGAAAAAAGGTTTTAATTTTTTTTATTCAGAATAACATAATAATAATTATTATTATTTATTTATTTATTATTTTTATAATATTATTTTTAATATTATTATTATTTATTTATTATGTTATTCTGAGGTTTCTGTTTTCTTTAATCTGAAAAAAAAAAATTTGCATGAGACTGCTTTTATTTGTAGTAAAGTTAAACATTTTCTGCATTGAAATTTGACAATAAATATTGTTTAAGCTATGAAATATTGTTGAAATGTAAAAATGTGGACAAAGGGGAACGGCTGTAAGAGACGAGATGGATTTGGAGTAAATCACTTATAACTGGAACTCAGTGACTTTTAATTGAATAACCCATATATAGTATGTTGTCTTTGGTCAATTTATGACATCACAAAATATGATATTATTATTTCAATAATATTTTATCAGGGAGATCCCTTTAAAGCATAAACTTGCATCTTAAGATGTTTTTAAACTTTTTTTTTTTAGTTGAAGTATAGTCAATGTCAATTTTGATGATACGATATTTTTGAATTTTTTTTTTTTCCAGCAGAAATCTTCCTACCAGAGAGCACATTTTTATTATTGATCCTGTACCTGCATTTTGAGCAAATACAAATGACCTAATAGTTAAATATAATAGGAAAATAAGCGGGAACCCTGATTAAGAATGACCTCAAACTTGATTGGATCACTTTGGAATTTATACATTTTGGTCTCAAAGTTCACTGTATTTATCTATTTGTTTTGTTCTTTGTACTCAATGACTCTCTTCTCATCTTGTCCCCACTCAGAGCCGGGCCTCTGCCTGCAGCTGGCGTTGAAGCAGTTGTCACCAGGGGTCCGGGTGGAGCCGTGCAGCTCGGCTGTGCTGCAGTTCAGTGTGGATGAAATTGGCCAGCTGGTGCCACTGCTGCCAAACCCCTGCACACCTATCAGCAGCACACGCTGGCAGACGGAAGACCTGGACGGCAACAAAGTTCTTTTTCAAGTAAGAATTTTTTTTCATCCCTACAGTAACACCTTGAGATACGAGCGTCCCGACGTACGAGTATTCCAAGATACGAGCACATTTTTGCTTACAGACACTGACGCTAGGTGGCCGAGCACTCGGAGCAGCCCACGCCGTCTCACGAGTTTGTCGACTTCTGTACTAGTGATGTTCGATACCACCAATTTCCTTTCCGATCCGATACCGAGTAAAATCCGGGCTGGTATCGCCGATACCGATATCGATACCGATATTTTATCATTTGTCTTTTAA